CGATCCTTCGCAAAATTGCCATGTGTCGTGTGGACGGGCGGGGAGGTTCATCGGCGGAATTGCCTCCGCCCATAGCCTTCGGGATTTGTAACCCAATTTTAAAGGTAAAGGGAACAAGCAGGCTTATAAAATGTAAGGAAGCACGTCAATATCGGCCTAACTCAACGTCTTATATACCTGGTAAACGAAGTCCAGCTCCTCGAAGAGCTTGCGGCGCACAACGCCAAACCAGCAAACCGACGCTGGGAAGAGAGCCGATGCGAGATCGCGGAGCGGAGTCATCGCCCTGACGTCACTATTCGCCTCACCCAATCAGGGCGCGGCGACCGCAGCGACGCTTGGGTTCGCTCTCGGGGCTAATAGGGGGAGGTGTGGTACTCGCAAGATGTGAAACCACCACAGGTTAACTCCAAGTATGCTTCAATGCCAACATGTCTGCGACAGTACTTTTTCCCGGTGGGGAGGGCAACTTCGGATCACTTCCCTTACAAGGTGCAGCGGTTCCTGCACTCTCCAAATACAGATAGCTTGCAGTACCCTATTGAGAAACCCCAATATGAACAGCGTATTGTGGATATTGGTAAACAATATCTTTTTATTGTATTACAGTACGATATGGACAGTGTATTATAAAACATTACATTTATTGTTTTGTATTACAATAAGGGTTTGTTATGGGATTCCAATATCCATTATACGCTAAAAACATCGGAATCCAATACCGTATAAACCCTTAATGGATCCTCATGTGTCGAATGGGGATCCAATAAGGGTTTACGATTCCAGTGTACCTAGCGTAATATGGATATTGGAATTCAATATATTATATCGGCTACCAAGAAAACTATATACGAGTTGGAATATCACGTTCAGCACGACATTTCTTTGCAACGCAGTCTCTTCTTGTGTGTATTTCTGAGTGATAAAATAAAAAAAAATTATTCTCTTGTCAAATTATGAATAAAGAAGCAAAACACAGGGCTTATCCATATTCCTGAACTGAAGGATCTGGCATTTACTGCAAAAGAAAGTTAATTGTTTAGGACCCTCTTTCAAAAACTTGATGTTTGAAAACAGAATGTAAAGTCCTCACCTTTCAATGAAAAAAGCACCGGCTAGCTGTAGCCATATAGAAACTGCAAAATAAAAATCTGTGATTAGTTCGCGACAAATAGCAATCTTTCACTAAGCCGGATAGATTCAAAATTATTTCTGCGTTTGGTTGCGGAAAAATAAACGTCAATTCCACAGCCACGGGTCACTCTGAGCTTGGTCAATTAAATAAATGTATCCGCTCATCTGGCTTCACTATTCCTGCTTCGCACCTAACCAGAGTATCTGGAATGCTCACCTTTGAGGAAAAACGAACTGGTGCTTGCTTGCTTGTAGGCCGTGGAAACTGAGAGAGATTAGCGGTTGGTTGCGTCCAAGTAGCAGTTACTTTGAGTAGCCACGTAAGGTACACTAAGTCTGAAAGATTCAAAATTACATGCGCGGCACACAGATATCCTCTTGGGACGTAACTGGGCACACTTCAATGTCGCCCGCGTGTATTACAGAAACATAAGCTTCAATGCAGGAGCCCCCAGTCGTTCTCAGCGCAGCCAATTAAAAATGCTGCATGTACCGGTTGTCTGGCTTCAGTATTCCTGCTTTGGGAATCTCTAATTCTCACCTTTGAGGAAAAGCAAACTGGGACCTGCTGGCTCTTAGGCCGTGGAAACTGCCAGAAAGATTTGCGATTAGTTGCGTTTAAGTACCTATTTCTTTGACCAGCCACCTACAGCACACTAAGCCGGATAAATTCAAAATTACATGTGCGTGACATAAGTTGCCTATTGTGACAAAACTGGGCACATGTTTTGTCGCGTACAGCAACACTGAAGCCAGACAGACAAGCGGTACGGCACCTTTAATTGACGGAGCTCAGAACGAGTAGGGGCGCTTTCACTGAAGCTTGTTTTGCTGCAATACACCTGTGTATAGCAGCAAAACAAGCTTTAGTGAAAGTGTCTCCAGAGGTTCAAAGCTCCGTCAACTAAATATGCCGTACCGCGTGTATTGCAGTAAAACAGGCTTCAGTGAAAGCGTCCCCAGTCGTTCTGAGTTCTGTCAATTAAATATGCCGTACCGATTGGCTGGCTTCAGTATTGCAGCTTCAAAGCAATCTAGAAAATCTAGAGTCCTCACCTTTGAACGAGAACGAACTGGCACCTGCTGGCTTGTGGGCCATGGAAACTGCAAGAGAGATTTGTGATTAGTTACGTCGAAGTAACAATTTTTTTTGAGTAGCCATCTACAGCACACTCAAAATTACATGCACGGGACACATATGCCTCATGCGACGGAACTTCCTTCACCATTATTTTCTGTTAACTCTCCTCACCTTCACCACTTGCCTCCAATTGCTGCGCTACTTTAATCTCAATCCCCTGGTTTCCAAAGGCCATGCCATGTCTTGCGCCAGTCACGGACTGTCAGCTCTGCGACCGGCGCCATTGTGGCAAAGACGCCACAGCACCTCGCACTTGGTGTGCTCTTTTATTATATTGAGCATGGCTCAAAATAGGTGGATGGGTGTCGGGTATGCCCTTTGCTTATTTGCGGATCGTTCCGAATCAGAGGGTAGGTGCTTCTGCGATCTGGGAGCATGCTCGGTATTTTACAATAGTTGAATTTGAACTCCGCAGTAATCGTCAATCATAACAAACAGATTGTGCATGCCAAAAGGCATAGCAAATTAAACACCCACCGTCTATCTATTTTCGGTTCTTGTACGCAAGAATCTGTGGTATATGTAGCCTCCTTTGCTTAAGCCGCTCCTCCCGAGTGTCCCGGTTGGGTCCCGTCCTGATGAATCGTCGGTGGAGGCCTGAGATGCGGTCAACATCAGATTAGACCTTTTGAGACAGAAGCGTATGCTTCCTGGAAGGAAGTACACCCAAACGATTTTTAGGCAGGTCATTTATAATGAGATTTAAAATGAGAGGCCTGATGTAAAATGAGACGTCAATACTGACGCACCCCTTTTGCGAACCTAAAATTTTGAAGGCCTTGTGCCCCTCGCTAGGGGAACAAGACACATGAATCCCAGCATGTGGGTGAAATTTATACCTTAACATCCCAACTTAATGCCCATCCCCGAATATTCGACCACCACACTTTTAGAAAAAAAAACTTTTTTAGAAAACACCGAGTCATCGACCAACCCTACAAAAGCCTGGACCAAGCATACTCGTACCGTGGCTTGTTTGCTTCGTGACACCCCCGAGCTAATTCGGACTGACAATGTTTTTTTTGTTTTTTTTCATATGGAATTTTGCACATTCTTAGTTTAGGTTTCACTTGTAGAGGCAGGTGGACACTTTTGTAAAGCTTCCTCCCTATGCGCTTCAAAGTCAGCATTTGTGCAATGGCCAACGCCCGGGCTTTGATTTTGCGCTCCTTAACAAATGATGAAAATCATATAGGCGGGCAATAGCTCGCCTTGAAAATACTTGCTCTTTGTGGCCGAGAACAAACTCGTGTTCCTGATTGGCAGCGATTTGCTGCAACGAATGCCCTGCACATATACTAAAGATCCCAGTCTTAGTCAAATACAGATGCTTTGGCCGGACAGTCACACAAAAGCCTGACACAAGACCACTATAAAGACAGGAAATAGAGTGTCTGTGAGGAATGAAACACACAACTCAGATAGGCATCAATCACTCACCCTGAAAACACTTGAATGAGCGGCAAAGAGCAAACTTCTTGCCTTGATTGGCTGGTGCTTAACACTAAGACCTGCATGTATAAGAAGGAATCCGGTCTTTGTGAAACTTGGGTGTTTTTACAGAAGAGGGACAACAAAATACTAATACGAGACCACTACACATAGGAAATGTCATCCAACAGCAATGAAACACAAAACACAGTGTGTTAGATGTTGACTCGATTTTTCCCCCGAGTCACTCGTTTTCTCGGACTCGGTCCTTGGGCCGCTTTTGTTTTTAATTTTATTAACGATTTAAAGATACACGAAACCAATGTACAAACCCAATTTTTTGCTGACGATTGTGTTTTATTTGCTAAAGTAAACAACCCGTCTGATCAAGAAGAATTAAATTATTGTCTATCTTTGGTTCATGCGTAATGCAAAAAATGGAATATGGTTCTGAACTGTAAAATGTGCGCTCAATGGCCATGACGCGGAGAATCAACCCTTTGTTTTTTACATAAACTATTAGTGGAGTACCACTCAAGACTGTTAAACAATATCAATACCTCGGAGTTTTAATTACCTCTGATTTGTCATGGAGTGCACATATTGAGTCTATAGCTCGTAAAGGAATGCGGAATCTGGTTTTTAAAACGAAATATTAACCTCTGTTCACCTGAAGCTAAACTGACTGCTTATAAAACCATCACAAGACCAATGCTAGAATATGCATGTATTGTATGGGACCCTCATACAAAGCCGTCAATTGATATGTTAGAGACCGTCCAAAAATGCATTGCGGTTTCTGTACAACCGTTATGGTTTTATGTCTGCCGTTTGAGATCTGTACCCAAGATCGGGATTGAGTGATTTAGCCACCCCGAGAAAAACAGAACAGAAGTTTCTTTATAATTTGAAACAAGGTAATTTGCGACTGCGTCTCTGTGATTACACGTCTTCTAACGAAACAAGGCCCACGAGAGGCAAACAGCAATTAACACTTGTCGAACCATTGTGTCGAACCACTCTGTTCAAAGCATCCTTTGATCGTAGAACCACGTGTGAGTGGAATAAGCTTCCTGAAAGTGTTGTAAATTTGAAATCATGAGATACTTTTAGTGAAGCACTACTCTCGCACTGTGTTGAGTAGTGGCTCTGTCTGTTTGTTTGTACTACTTCCGCTTGTTTTTTGAATATTGGTTTTGTACATCTCCTGCCTCGGCGTTCTACAGAATGCTGGCAGTATCACCAAATAAATAAATAAATAATAAATAAATGGTATATAGGCGGGCAATAGCTCACCTTGAAAATACTTGCTCTTGGTGGCCGAGAACCAAACTCGTTCCTGATTTGCAGCCATTGGCTGCGAAGAATACCTGCACTTATCCTAAAGAACTTAGTCTTAGTCTAACACAGATGCTTTGGCCGGACAGACACACAAAACCTTGACACAAGACAACTACAAAGACAGGAAATAGAGTGTATGTGAGGAATGAAACACACAACTCAGATAGGCATCAATCACTCACCTTGAAAACAATTGCCATGAGCGACAAAGAGCAAACGTCTGGCCTTGATTGGCTGGTGCTTGCCACCAAGACCTGCATGTATAAGAAAGAACCCGGTCTTAGTCGAACTTGGGTGTTTTTGCAGAACAGAGACAACAAAATACGAATGCAAGACCACACAGATAGGAAATGACATCCCAAAGGAATGAAACACAAAACTCGTTTAGGCGGGTAATAACGCACCTTGAAAATACTTGCTCTTGGTGGCCGAGAACAAACTCGTGTTCCTGATTGGCAGCCATTTGCTGCGAAGAGCACCCTGCACATATCCTAAAAAACCCAGACTTAGTGTTACACAGATGCTTTGACCGGACAGAGACAGAAAAGCCTAAGACAGGACCACTATGAAGACAGGAAATAGAGTGTTTGTAGGGAATGAAACACATAACTCAGATAGGAATCAATCACTCACATTGAAAACACTTGCCATTAGCGGCAGAAGGCAAACTTTTGTCCTTGATTGGCTGGTGCTTGCCACCAAGCCCCTCATGTATAACGAAGAACCCGGTCTTAATCAAACTTGGGTTTTTGCAGAAGAGACACAACAAAATACTAATGCAAGACTACTACATATAGGAAATGGCATCCAAGAGGAACGAAACACAAAACTCATATAGGCGGGCAATAGCTCACCTTGAAAATGCTTGCTCTTGGTGGCCGAGAACAAACTCGTGTTCCTGATTGGCAGGCATTTGCTGCGAAGAATACCTGCACATATCCTAAAGAACCCAGTCTCAGTCTAACACAGATGCTTTGGCCGGACAGAGACATAAAAGTCTCGATACAAACCACAAAAAGCAGGAAATAGTGTCTGCGAGAGTAGAAAACTGACCAAGGTGGAGAGGCTTGTTCTGTTTTACCTTAGACAAATTCTGTAGCTTATTTTGCTAAAACAATCAAACTCCAGTCAGACTCCGCTTGCCGGCTTTCTGATGGTTTCCTGGTGGCAGTCGGCCGCCGTGAAATGCCATCAAGATGTCTTGGTGGTGAAACTGATTGTACATCGATAGTCTCTGACTGTACGTCAAAAAGTCTTGACGTGCAGACAGACTTACGGTCAAAGGACGTAAAGTTCGTTCGGATACCACTATTTCGTCAAATCTATGAACACGAAAAATAATCTATGCACGAGAAAACGATTTCGGGGCGTGAGCCCATAAAACCGCTGATGTTAGAGATATGACGCGCAACCAACCGACACCCTTGATCAGAAGACCGCCGAAACGCCGAACACGCCACTTTCGCTTCGCCCATAGAGGCTTCGCCGAGCTTCCATGAACGATCGCTCTTGACTCCTTTTGTTTGCCCGCTTGCTCCAGCCTGTCGATCCTGCACGGGCTCTACAATCTCTTATGTTTTAGTAGAATTTCTACTCGACAAGAGCCAGCCTGTTGTGAGTTCCGACGATATAAGGACTTTAGCGGTGTAGTTAAAGACGACAAGGCGTACCAGGTCTACTGGGCCGGAGACGCGCGAACTGAAGGATCGTTCTACGACGCGAAAGTACTCTACATGGCAGGTGAGTAGAACTGAAGTACGGCGACTGATGTACGAGTGCTTTGCATAACATGCTGAAGGCTTAACTGCATATGCAGCCGAAGCATTCTTTAGAGCGATTTGCTCATTGTCCGAATCTCGCGCTGCGATATTAAAATGCTCCTGACTCGGTCCGAGAGGTTTGGGCTAGAAAGTTTATACCTTTCTATCTGGCATGGGCTATTGGCCTTACCGCTGTGTGGCACCTCATTATTATTGTTTCATGAAGAGTGCAGACAAAAAGCATCCGCGAGCGTAGTAAAGATATCTCTGCTGCTCGCGTTTGTCCGTGGAAGCCAGGGCTGTCTGTCGTAGCATGCATGCTTGCTCTCTTGCTTCAATGGAGTCGCATAGGTTTTGTGAATTAATGTGTATATGGTCGTACTGAAAGGTTCAGACATCATCATCATCATCATCATCATTTATTTTCCTTGAGGGCCCCAGGGGGCATTATACAAGGGAGTGAACACACTAAAAACATCAACAAAAATAGTTAATAAAAAACACGCTGTAATCTATACTTGTATTTCAGAAAGAAAGAGGTTAACGGCTGCAGCAAACTTGTTAGTATCAGTCATGTTTACAATGAGGTCAGATAATGAGTTCCAATCGTCAATAGCAGATGGTAAAGTCGACATTTTATAGGAGACAGATGACGAAGTAATTGAGCGCAGTTTACATGAGTGGTCAAAACAAGGGACAATACGGTAGGGAGGTGATAGTAGAGAATCTTTTAGATGGTTGTTGTGGTAAAAGATTTTGTGAAGAAGAGTGAGACGTGACACCCTTCGACGTAAAGAATGTAAGTCAAGGTTAGCTGATTTGCGTAATCCTGAAATGCTAGTGTATGGGGAGTAGTCAGAGTAAATAAAACGAAGACCTCTGTTTTGAACGGATTCAAGGTTGTTAGTTAGATATGATTGCCAAGGTGACCATATGGATGAAGCAAATTCAAGTTTAGATCTGACCAAGGTCGTATAAGCTAGTAGTTTTACTGAAGGTGTAGCTAGTCTGAGGTTACGGCGAAGAAATCCGAGAGTACGGTTGGCATCGGCAGTGACAGCATTTATGTGAGTAGTCCATGACAGATCAGAGGTCAGGTGAACGCCTAGGTATTTATATGAGGAACAGGTAGCTACTGGGATAGTGGAAAGGTGATAAGAAAAGGATGAAACATGTGAACTGCGGGTGAATGATAGAGATTTACATTTATTAAAGTTTAAAGTCATTTGCCATTTGTGGCACCACTGAGTTATAAGTGCGAGGTCATTTTGCAAAATTTGATTATCGTGGTTTGAATTAATAGGTCTATAAATTACACAGTCGTCGGCGAAGAGACGTATTGAAGAGGAGATGTTGAGGTAGAGATCATTAATGTATATTAAAAAATAGAAGGGGGCCAAGAAGGGTTCCCTGGGGGACGCCGGAGGTTACAGTGCAGGTGGTAGATTTGGTGTTGTTAATAGATGAGTACTGGGTGCGATTTGTGAGGAATTCGGAGATCCATTTGACGACTGAGGTATGGATATTAATATTTCTAAGTTTCAGTAAGAGACGTTGATGAGGGACCCTGTCAAATGCCTTGGAGAAATCAATAAATATGGCGTCAGTTTGCTTATTAGAATCAAAGTTTGAGTAAACGTCAGTAAGAAAAGCTGTTAGTTGCGTTTCGCATGAGTATGACTTGCGAAAGCCGTGCTGATGCTCGAAAAGAAGGCTGCGGGAGCCTAGAAAGTTTAGTATGTTAGAATAGAGTATATGCTCTAAGAGTTTAGACGACACACTGGTGAGCGAGATCGGGCGATAGTTGTTGATTAGTTGGCGATCACCTGCTTTGTAAACGGGGATGACGTTAGCGATTTTCCAATCGCATGGAATTTCAGAAAGTTGAAGAGACTGCGAGAAAATGTCGCAGAGTAAAGTTGAAGAGACGTGTTTAGTATTTATTAATATTTTCGAGTTTATTTGGTCGTCGCCAGAGCTAGAAGACACCTTCAGCTGATCAATGGCCTTCAGTACACCAGAGCGGTCGATCATGATAGGATTCATAGGAGGATGAAGGGGTTGGCACAAGTTGGGCATACTTGACAAGTCTTCATTGGTAAAGATCGAGCTAAAAAAGTTGTTAGTTTCAAGAGCACTATGTTCTTCAGAAAGTGGAAGGCCGTACTCGTCAACGAATTGTAATGGAATAGAGAGTGCTGGGTTAATTACTTTCCAAAACTTTTTAGGTTTATTGGTTAAAATGTTGGGGAGGTCATGAGTATAAAATTTGGATTTGGCATCATGAATCGCGGATTTGTAGACCCTAGCGCATTCGTGATAGGCGTTCCAAGATGCGTTAGTGTTATGAGCCTTTGCCCTCGTATGAGCTCTTTTTTTCCTGTTGGAGTGACAAAGAACTGTTTTATCGTACCAAGGGTTAGTGTTATCGGATATAATTCGAGTGAGTGGAACGAAACGTTTGATTAGGGATGTTAGTCTATCTTTGAAAAGAATCCAGTTTTCATTGACCGTCCTTTCTGCGAAGTCTACTGAGAATATGTGATAAAATTCTTCGAGGTTGGTGTTGATAGATGCGTAGTCGGCTCTCGCATAATCGTGAATGAATTTGCAATAACGTGATTTCTTAGGAGTAGTGATGGAGAATGTTAGCTCAATGACGAGGTGGTCGCTTATGCTGGGTAAGTACGTGACGTTGCTGAAGAGAGAAAGGTCATTGCTTAAACATAGGTCGAGTACGTTGCTGCAGCGATTGGTAATTCTAGTGGGTTGAGTGATAACATTAGATAGGTTAAAATCTAAACAAAGGTCAATAAACTCTTGAGAAAATGCACAGCTAGAACAAATAGTAGACCAGTCAATGTTTGGGTAATTGAAATCACCAAAAGGGTAACTAAAGCGTTAGGATATTTACATGCGAGTTCAGAAAGGCATTTATACAGCTCAATAACAAAATTTCTCTTATTATCCGGCGGCCTGTAACACACACCCATTATTACGGAAGGCGTTGTGCAAAGATACACCCAAACAACTTCTAGGTCAGTGGTAAGCGGTATTAGCCGTGATGGTATATGGTCTTTTATGGCCAAAAGTACGCCCCCTCCTTTTCTAGTTTTTCTATCAGACCTATACACTCGAAAGTTTAGTTGCGAGGGAAATAGCTCAACGTCAGATACATCAGGGCTTAGCCACGTCTCTGTAAGTACAACAAAAGCGGCATTACACGCTTCGATTACTGAAATTATTTCGTCTCTCTTTGGTATTAGGCTTCTAATGTTAGTAAATAGGATAGAATGCCTTGAAGGTTTGTTAGTGATTACATGGTGCTTTGCCGGTCGACTCCTAGAGGGCGACGAGAAGAAGCGCTGGCGTGGCTATGTGTCTTTTTCTTTAACGGCGCTAAGAGCGGCATCGAATACATAGCACTTATCATTTATAAAAAAGTTTATCATGACGCAGTCTGTAGGGGGTGCCTTTTGGCCTTGCAAAATCAAGAAGGTGACGGCGTGCGAGCCGGACAGAAATTGGGAAATCTTCGCTGATGGCTACGCGAGTTCCTTTAAGCTTGTGGGCTGATGAAAGAACGCTATCTTTATCTTTAAGCGAAGAAAACTTTGCTATTATTGGGCGTCATTTCTGAGGGTCGAATGCTCCTAGGCGATGCGCCCTTTCAATCCTAGATG